AAAACAAATTTCCCTTATAACGTAACTGAGAATGCAGTTAAGTTGTTTAGTAACTTAACTTTTAGGACAGGGTTGTTCACATCCAGATATGTAACGATGGGGAACTAGGAAATAAAAATAGTAAAATATTACAATATTTAGATCTAATACATCTGTGTCAATAATGTTGCTACTACTACATAACATTTTTGGTTTTAAAACTACCACTAAATTGTTACAACAAGATGACAATACTTTAGTTATATCAAAATATCATGTGAACAAAAATCTACAAATATTCTCAGATTGGTTGCAACAATTGTTCAGTTAATTTATTGATCAACAGCACAATTGAAAATTGGTGACTTTGTTAGATGAAAAAAAAAATCACTGGTTCCATTCTCGCTGGATTTCTTAGTCTTCAGTGATAGTAAGCTGAATATCTTTTGATTGTCAGATGAAAGAAGCCATTTTTCACAGTGTTAGAGACCATACACTTAATAATGTATTGAGAAAATAACCATCAGATGAACTGAAACTGAAAGTAACACTTACTTGCAGCCCTTTTTTTTAAATACAAAAACATGAAAGTTCAATCAACATATACTGTATCTTTGATGTGTATAGTCTATTGATGGTGTTTGTCCTTTCTGTTACCTTTGTTTATACATTTCAGCCAAGCAAGGAGGACTGGCGCCCTATGCTTTGAGGAACTAGAGGCTGATCCAGGATCAGAGTGACAGGTAAGGCATGACCACGGGGGCGACGACCTGCCAACCCACAAACATGCTGTGACATCACTCTAAGGAGGTCACGGTAATCAGATTATCGCCGTTACACAGAGTCGCTCGCCTCTGTGGGTCTGATCCACAGCAACACTCAGCAGGTTAAAACACAGAGCCGCACATGCTCGCAGACACACCTCAAAAAAAAAACTTACACAAAGAGAGGATAAATTTAGAAGAACGTGAGCCAAAAATAAAACCCCTGTGTTGTAAAACGACTTCAAACAAGCTTTGATTCTATCAGAAGTGTCACGTTTTGCCTTGATGAATTTTTCTCTGGGAGAACGAAGATTGTTTACTGAGCGCTGAAGCCGGCTGATGGGAGACAGAGGAGAGGCTCGGGGGCCTGAGCTGCTCTGTAACCGCAGCGATGCCAAGTGGTCGGCGGTTTGAAGAGGACACCTGAGACCAGAGCACCTGGACAATGAGCTGAGGTGTAACCCTAAACTGAGATGAACCACTGTTTATCCCCCACGCTCTCCTTCTCTTGTTCTTTCCCATCAGTCTACTCTCTCGTTTCATGCAGCTCCACTCTCTCTCTCGTCCCCGAGCTTCTTTTTCTCCACAACCCGATCTTTTCCACCCTCTTATTCTCCCGATCTTTTGACTCACTGCCTCTCTCCTCTTTCTCACTTTCTTCCCATGATTTCCCCTTCTGGGCATCACCAGGCTAATGCAAGCATCCCTCAGTGTGGGTGTGAGTCATATAATCACATACTTAACGATTAGCACCCCACATTTTCAGCAAGACTCATCGTTCCAGGGGAAAAGTGGGTCCAAAGCCCTCCCTGAGACATTCCTGCATTTCTTCTGTTGCTATTTTTTCACACACACAATACTCTAAATTAAGGGACTGACATTTTGCACAGCAGCTGACAGCGGCTAGCAGCTGTATGACTCAGTGACACAAAAGCAGTGCCCATGTCACCATGGAAAGGCAGCGTTATGGTGTTGTTGCCAAGGCTCTGCTGTCCAATGTGATCCCACATCGTTACTGTTCGAACCACGCAGGGAGGAGGGAGAGGAAAGGAACTGTGCGTTTGAGTGTGATAGAAAAGTAAGAAACTCAAGAAGACCAAGTGGGGGATTGGAGATTAGAAGACGTTTCGGCAGATCAGCGGCAAGTGTGTTTAAGCTACACTTACTTCTGCAGTCTCCCTGCTTAAAAGGCCTTTAGTCAGCATCCCGCACACTCCACCCATATTTGTACACTCTCTCCCCCATCACTCACGTCACTTAAGATAAACACACGCAGTCTGACCTGCACATATACACTGAAAAATGCACTTAGATGCTCGCTGTGTATTAGTTCTTTGATGCACCAACAACTGCAACTGCGTCTTTAAACAGCAAGTAGCACAAAGGACCAAAAATAGCACAGTGAGTTGCAGAGCAGAACTGCTCTCCTTGAGGATGGGAGGAAGGAGGAGGAGGAGGATGAAGAGCAGGAGGAGGTGCAGAGAGAGAAGACAGGGAAAAGATGGCAGAGAAAGACCAGTTCTCCAGGACTTAGACCTCCCCTGCTGTGTTCAATTTAAGTTTCTCCTTCAGTGTCAGCGCTCCCAACACCTCAATGGCAACACTGGATAATCACATTTCTGCAGTGTCAGAAAATGATCAGGAGAAGACTTGATGTTGTGCATTTATAACTGTCCTCTTATTTGTCACAGTGGATTTCATATAGGGCAGCTACAACAATAGAGCAATTCAAGCATCAAGCAAGCAACATATTGCAATGTGGTTTTTGCAAATAATTGATATATACGTTTGACACGAGTAGGTATCATTTTTTCTGTTTTCACTCTGTTCTTAAATACTGTAAATTATTCATTTCTGCTGTATGTCCAGGATTTCACCATTTTGGGACATAAACCATTTCTCTCTCTTTCATGAAACACTGATTTTGGTTAGACTCGCTAACAGCTCCCATTTGTTTTCAGTCTTTATGCTAAGCTAAGCTAACTGGCTCACAGCGACAGTTTCATATTTACAATTCAGACACGAGAGTGCGATCAATATTTTTATTTAACACTTGTCAAGAAAGTGAATGAGCATGTGTTCTTTAACATTTAAACAAAAGGTGTGATGGATACTAGATGCATCTTGCATATATGCGTTATATAAGGATGTTAGTGACTAATTGGTAATCGATATGCATGGCGTGTGGTTAGGCAGATTAAATTTGTTTTGACATTTATTAACTCAAGGCAGAAATAATGGACTATTACTGTCGCAACATGTTGCCCATAGTAACCATAGCATCAAGTGGAATTAATAATTCGTACATTCACGTATAACGCAGAAGATGAGAGTTGTGCATGTCAGAAAATGTATTGTGGATTTGCTTCATCATGTAGATCAAGTCTGAAGACTAGTGTGACATCAAACCGCTATGAAGAGATTAAAAACATTAGTGGTTATTTGTTGGAAAAGACTACATCTGCGTTCCCTGCTTTGGTTTTTGTCGGACCAACAGCTGAAATTCAATTTTTAAATGACGTCATTATCTTTTCCTACTAATTTATAAATCAAGCACTTTGGTGGTTACGTTATGTGTTCTTCAAATTCCTAATGTAATCGAGCCAATTTTACAGCAAACATTAGGTCTGTCAGTGGTTAAAAAATGAATCAATAATCAATTATTGATTGTTAACATGGCCTACTAACAGGTGAAACTATTTAATATTTCCATGCATGGTAATATCAGTTCTCCTGGATACTATGGTTACTATGGGCAACATGCTGTGACAGTATTGGCCTATTATTCCTACCTTAAGTTAATAAATGTCACAACAAATTAAATCTGCTTTACAACACACCATGCATTCAGACTAATGTACCTGTTTTTTTCCCATTTTAATTGGAAAATAATGAGAGGGAGAAAAATACACTTGCATAGTTTTCCCTTTATGAGGTATGCCTAGCTAAAAAAGTAAAAATAAATCCTTAATTCACAAAAAATATATTATTCAGCTTTTGTTAAAACTGTAAGGAAAAATCATTTTAATGCAATATATCACAAATATAAAGTTCTCATGTTTTCTACATTTTTTTCCTCTTCATTAAGACCACGTAGTAAAAAAAAAAGTGAAAACTTTTCAGTTTTACACAACTACACCACAACCTACAACCTCCAAAATCCTCATAATGTTAAAACAACACCTCTCTTGAACAGCTTCAAAAACTGGATATCATAACAAGAAACCGATCAATATATCAGTTGGCTGATATTATCGGCCAATATTGGCCTGTCATAGATTTACCAATATCTGTGCATATGTTGTCTGATATTATACTATATTAAAACTTTTATTTACAGAGATTAATACCGAAAAACAAGCCGGGGATAATTTAGAACCAATGTCACCACAGAGTGGCTCCTGCTCCATTGTTTACAACACTCTCAGCACCTGCAGCACATGTAGCAGAAAACACATCACAACTAAGCACATGGTGGTGCAGAGTCAAGCTTTGTCTTTATGTTCACTTGCAAACTAGTTTCTGAACAACATTGCTGGAAAGTTGATAAACAATGATACCATCATTTTCCCTTTTCTATATACTAACATGAAATATTAGTATTGGCCTCAAAAATCCAGTAGTGGCCAGACTCTAATATAGCCGACATGAAGGAAGAATTCATTGTAGGACTGGTTTACTATACTGCACTAATTTGCGCTAACAAATTGAGAGTAAGCCTCTATATCTGTATGTGTTGTGCTGCTTTATATTATATGTGGGTCTATGTGCTGTTTGGTGTTGGAGCCACCTCATCCTCATTGAACCTCTCAGCTGAGAGTTCAATATACAAAGCTTGTGAGCTTTAAAGTTCATAATTGACTTTTGGAATATTAATGTGAAAAACAATAGGCTAGCCGAGCACAATGTCTACGTTATCTAAACATTCTATCTCCAATAGGCAGATAATAACCACCGAAACATCTCTATGACAACTGAGCAAACTGTATCTGCTGATGAATGCCACGAGATGCGGCCGAGAGTTCCTGGAAATTTCTGGTACTTAGATCATGATCTAAGAACTGAACTGGTTTCTGCTCTGATAAAAAATCTAGCTCAGACTATGATGTTCTATTAAAATGTCTTAATCTAGTATTGAGTGTATCATGGCTCTGCTCAACTCTGCCATGTTTTGTTCTAGTTCCTGGTTATTATAAATGGGAAATTGGTATGGGTTTGATAAGTAACACCTTCTGGAAAGTGGTACAATGGTGTCTTCAGTGTTAGAAATATATCATCATAATAACTTTTGACATTAGTGTGAATTACTTACTGTTGCTGGACTTGAGGTCTCTGTGGATGATGGGTACGAATGCCTGGTTGTGCAGATAGTCCATCCCTGTCGCAATCTGGACCGCCCAGTTCACCAAAACTCTCGGGGGAACCTTCTTCCCAGCCAGGGCCCGGTTCAGAGCCCCTCCTCTGGCATACTCCATCACCAAGCACAGGTTGGGCTCCCGCAGGCACACTCCACGAAGAGCGATAATGTTGGGATGCCGGAGCATCCAGAACAGCCTGGCCTCCTGCCTCACGCTTTCCGCTGTGACACTAATATCCTCATCTGGGTCTTGCCTGGCGGCCTTCACAGCCACTTCCTCTCCCCGCCACCCTCCTTTGTAGACCTTCCCAAACCCACCAGCTCCTATGACTTCTTCCAGGAGCAGTTCTGAAAAGTCAATCTCCAAGGGGCATTCACCAACTCCACCTGCCACCAGCCCGCCTGCTGTCAGCTGCTGGTAGTTGGCTGCATCTCCCCTCGTGACATAGTTGCTTGGAAAGATACCCACCTTGTCCTGGATCTTGCCCGTCCACCAGCCCTCGTCCCCAGACACTTTAGAGTCCTTAGAGAGAACCTCAAGAAGGTCCCCGCGCCGCAGGGTCAACTCCTCATCTGCTGTGGCCTCATAGTCAAACACTGCTGTCCAGTAGGGGTTGGGGTTGTTCGCCCCACATCTGTGACCAGGGTGGGAGTCAGGGGAGCCTGAGGAGGAGATTGTGGAGGAGTTCCAGCTGCTGCCGTTCTCCACCTGCACGACTGGGGCGGGATACATAGGCGGCGGAGGGGTCATATTTGGGGGAATGGAAGAGGAGGAGGTAGTTGAGGAGGGGGGCCCGGGGGGGATGAGGCAAGGGGGAGGCGGCGAGCAGCAGCCCCCACAGCTGGTGCAGGACAGGGGGGCCGCTGTGCTGCTCGGTCTGCCGTATGGGTTCATGGCAGCCTGACTGCTGTTTGACGCTGTCGGCCTGCCCTCTGTCAACTCAGGCACAAAATCCATACAGGGCCCATTGACTGAGACGAGGTGTCCTCGGCCACCAGTGGAGAGGAGAGGGGATCAGAGGCTCAGAGAGCTGCGACTGCTCTCCCCCATCACCACATCTTGCTGTTGAATCTGTGCCAAATCCTGTCACCCGCTGCTGCTGTGCTGTTGCTACGCAGTGTGTAAGTAACATGTATCCCCAAAGGCAAGTTCATTCAGCGACAACGTACATCAGGTCAAACAATGACACTCGGCAGAGCAGATCCCCCCCCCAAAAAAACCAAAGCGATTACTTCCACAATTGCGTCTTGTAAAGAAGCTGCCACAAACTCTCACAGGAGTCCTGAATGTGTGTTTATCAAAGAGACAGCAGTTGTGATGAAATCCTTTTGAAAGATGCCTTCAGTCTGATCTGGTCCTGATGAGTGAGTAAGCTGTGATGGTAATTATCTCTCTCACTGGTCTCATATGCTGCTGAAACAGTTACATAGTTAGTTTCTATATATCTGTTGGAATTAAGTACAGTTCATTGAGATTCAACAAAAAAAAATTTAATCTGAGCTCATTGTGTCATTATAGTTTGGAATTATTTGCCCAAATGAACTCGTGTGGTTAGTTTCAGCCCATTAAGAATTAGCGTATTGATTCTGAGTGTGTCAGTCTGAGGTGATAATAAAACCACAGCTGATTGTCAGATTAATTTTAGTAAGGAAAATGGACTATTAAGCTGCCAATAAAAACCGCAGTCTGTGCATGAGCTGAGTGAAATCCTCTGAGCAGGGGTCCTCATTATTTCTCATCCAGCCCAGCATAGACGCACCTCCCCCGCCAGCCATCTCCGCGAATATGGGCTGTTGTCTCTTCTATATATTGTGTTTGGAAATATCCACGGATATTCGCCCTACATCCCAACAAGCCGGTCCAGGCTAAATCCTGCATGCATGGCCACTCATGAGCCGGTTCAGCGTCCCTGAATAGCCTTTATCAAAAAGGCCCCGTCCATTTTAAGACAGCTTGAGGGAGTGGGGGGGAGAGAAATCAGAGAAGTGAGCGGACGGCTGGGCGACAGGTACTCAATACAGATCTGCGAAGTGGCACCATGTTCAGCATCCAGCCGCGTCTGAGCGCAACCAAACCCGCCTCCGTGTCTGTGCAGCGGCCTGGTTCAGTCGCCTCTGCTGGGCTACATTTGTGATGGTGACGAGTGGTCGGTCAGACAAGAAACTCCTCTTCGCTGGAGACAGAACAGAGATGCCAGCGTTTATCATTATCCTGCTGCGTCCTGAGCGCGCATACTTCCAGATCATCAATCAACAGTGCTTGTGGCGGAGGTGTGGAGGGTTTTTTTTCTGTTGTTGTTGCTGTTTTAAATGTCCACTGCTTCTTCTTTAGGAGAGGCAGAAACCGTCACACGATGGCAATAAGGTAGAAAATACTGTCAGTTTGCATGGAGGCATTGCAGCATTACAGTATCTGTGATCCGAGATGAAAAGGCGATGAGCAGCTCCAGTGTCTCCATGTTTCCTTTATGA